CTTTACATGACCCACACTGAGAAGACCCATCATTAGACCTTCGCTTAATTTGACCATCCCATCACAGGACCTACTGACACGCAAAGCACTTATAGGCAAAAGAACACCAAAGCTGACATTCCCTAAATTTTGCTGATGATGCTATCTAGCTTGATAACAGAACATTTGAAAAGCAACTCCCAGACTCTGAGAATGAACCTCAACAGCCGAGGTGGCTCAGTAGTTAGGGTGCAGTACTGCAGGTCAATTCAGCTGACTGTTATCAGCGGTTCAAATCTCACCAGCTCAAGGTTGACTCAGCCTTCCATCCTTCTGAGGTGGGTGAAATGAGTACCCAGACTGGGGGGCCAATATGCTGACTCTGTAAACTGCTTAGAGAGGGCTGAAAGCCCTATGAAGCGGTATATAAGTCTAACTGCTATTGCTATCCTACACCTGAGCTACAGATATTTGCCACTGTTATGTACCTATAGATCATATATAATTTGTAATGCAAATCTTCCAGTCATACATCTAAGGCACAGTAACCTGAGAATAATTTTTATGGCTCAAAAAGCTAGATAAAGCAATTGTAGGTGCTCAAATAATGCAAAATTACACAATTTCAATTCTAGTAGGTGAAAGATGCCATTATGATTTTTAGTTTCCTCTCTTATGGAAGTCTTTCAATTTCTGATCATATTTTGATATGGAAGCTTGTGTATATGGTGTATGTATACATATTTATTTTATTTTATTTGATGTAATCTAATCTGGTTTGATTTGACTCAAACTGAATTGATTTTGGCACCACCTTTCTCCAGAGCTACTCTAAGCATCTTGAGATAGAAATACAATAACATAAATACAAAAATACAATAAAGACTTTGCCATACATTTTTTTCAAGAGTTAATGAACATCCTCCTGGGCTGTTTTATTATGATTTTCCTACCAGTTTAAACTCATTGATTGATGTTTAGTTTATAAGTATGAATCTGGTTTTAATCTGTTAGTTATAATCTATTATAATGAAACATTTTGTTGTTGACTTTGGCTTTATACGTTTCATTGTATGAAAGAGGGATCTTTGTGTTGTGCTATTAATTTATTTTACATCAAAGTAAGGTATTTTCATAAAGTTGTACATTTTATAAATACTAGATAGTAAGTTCTCACATTCCAAAGTGTGATTAAACTAAGGTGATTTATAGACCAAGTATTATTTGGTGATTCTCAAAGAGGAAAGTGAGTGTAATTACAGGTGCTAAAATCAAAACATTGCCAGTATTTAATTTGGCATAATTGTATTCATCTTAAGAAATGAGGAAGGAATAATTTTATAAATATTCTTGTGTTGTCTCTTGCCCCACTGACACATGGTATTAGCATAATACTCCTTGATTGCATTTACCTCATTAGACGAAGCATAAAATTAACTGTGAACTTTTTGTATCAGTTTCTAATTTAAAAAAAAAACATTGGGCCATTTCTGGTTATATTGTAATAATGCTCTCTGCATTGGGAATAGCTTTGCTTCTGAATATTATCCATCATAGAGACATTTTAACTGATATTCACATTTTTGGCTAAAGCAGATATTTGCATAAAAATAAATGTACTTTGTAAAATGCAAATTTAAAATGAAAACATTGCAAAAAATATTATAGCGTTCATATTTGTATTACTGCAATGCACTCCCAAGCTGTGGCTCAGTCGTTAAGATGCTGGTCTTGTAGACTGGACAGGTTTGAGACTCAATACAACAGGATGAGCTCCCATCCTTGCCCCAGCTCCTGCCAATCTAACAGTTCAAAAGCATGCAAATGCGACAGGGGTGGGTTACTGGTTCACAACCTGCGCACACGAGCAAAATAAGCATGCACGTGCGCTGTTCAATATAAATTGTTCTTCATACATGCACAGAACAATTTGCATTGAACTGTGCACTAAAAATCAAAATGGTGGCGGCCTAGAGGCAGTGAGGGAATCATTTCGAGGGCGTGGTAGGCCTGGGTTGCTGACGGTTCTGCGACCCAGACCTGAATTCCATGACTGGTTCGGGAGCAACCTACTTCTGAAATGAGAGTAGATAAATAGGTACTACTTCAGTGTAAAGTAGTACCTATGCAGCGCACTCTGCAGCATCATGCTGGCCACATGACCACGAAATGTCTTTGAATAGTGCTGGCTCAATGGTTCTGAAATGGAGATGACTAATCCACCCTATAACCAGGAATAACTAGCAGAGTAAAATCCTCATAGACTCCTTTTTTTAAAAAAAACAACTCTACATGGGGTGCCATTGAAGACCACTCAGAAACTTTAACTGGTTCACAATGCAGAAGTGCATGCACTAATGTGATAAAAAATTGGATTTCCCCATGTGCGTAACATCTTTGTGGCATGAGCTGCACTGGCTTCCAGGGTTTTCTTTGTGCAATTTAAGGTGTTGGTCATCACCTAAAAAGCCCTATATGGCACCAGGACAAGTTACATGTGGGATTACCTTTCCCTAAATTATTAACTCTTAATTCCCTGAATATACCCAATCTGCCAGGCCAGGTAATGGACACATACTTCTATTCTCTTCCCCTAAATATTGCCATCTTACGGGAGCTAGGAAGTGTGCCCCTTCTGTAGCAGCTCTTGTCCCATGGGATCCTCTTCTTCTACCCTATAATGCCTTTGAAGACTTGATTTTTTTCCCCACTGGAATAAGATTAGATGACTGAATATTTGAAGTTAGATTTGATGCCAGGTTTTTGTTTTTAATGTTTTAGTGTGTTTAGTGTCATAAATTTAATAGTTTTATGTGATATTTTACTTTTGATTAGGAGCCACCCGGAGTTGGTTAGAAAGTACATGACTGTATAAATGTTTTAATAAACAAACAAACAAGCAAGCAAGTATTAATAATGAATTAAAAATCATTATTTTTTTCCTTATCTGTATTGGCTCCTTTGAACTACACTATTCATGGTAGTAATAGGGTAAGTAAAGCCTTACAGAATTAAAATATTTCATAACAATCTCTCTCCTAATTTGTAACACATTGTGCACCCATTTTATGTCTCATCCCTATTTACTTCCTTGGAGAATTGATTGAAGTAGCAACTGCTGCTGTATAATGAGTACAGTGATGGAGTTGGACAGGAGAAATCCTCTCAAGGTGCCTGGAGGCTGTGTGGATCTGGATGGGGGACAGTGGCTTGGGCTGAACCCTGGCAAGACTGAATGGTTTTAGGTGGATGGAAGTCGAAGATCCAGGACTCAGACATCTTTAATTCTGGATGGGGTGGCACTACCTCACATGGATCCTATCTGCAACTTGGATGTTCTCTTGGATATTCCTGTCGAAGAGCCGCTAGGAGAGTCTTTGCAGAATTTCAGACGCTGCGCCAATTGTGGCCTTTCTGGATCAGGAGTCCCTGTGCTCAACCATTCAAGCCCTAGTCATCTAATCATTAGACTACTCCAATGTGCTCTACATGGGGCTAACTTTGAAAACCATTAGGAAGCTTCAACTTGTGCAGAGTGCAGCAGTGCAGGGAATCTTTGGAGCCCCCTAGAGTGACCCATTGACTGCCACCTTTTCTGGGTGCAATTTAAGGTGTCGGTTATTATCTACAAAGCCATGCATAGCATATGTACTGGAAGAACCATCTCACCCAGGCCCGCCCCACCCATATTACAGAGGAGGCATGCTGCAGATCCTGTCAATCCCAGCTTGTGGGGTCCAGGAGAAGAGCCTCTCTTCCATGACCCCATGACCCCAGTGCTTTGGAACTCTGTGCTCCCCCAATATAAGTATTGAGGTTTATTGAGGTTGGATTTTCAGTGAGGTTACAAATAAAATGCAGCAACCTATATATACATTTACCCAGGAATAATGGGACAATTCTGAATTATGGGATAATTCTGAAATACTAAAGTGTGTACTTCAGAATGGATTTTCTATGAGTTGACCTTCCACTTCTACATCCTGTAACAGCAAAGTGGATTGCTTCATCAAAAGCTTAGGATCCACTAAGATTAGATCAACTAACTTTAATATTATTCAATCCAGTGCCTTTATACTTAAAAGGCCTTTCCCTAGTGTAATGGAGCAATACATAATTTCTTGGAAACAATCCCACTGAAATCCTGAGCTTAATATTCAGCAGAATCACACTATAGAATTATAATTATAAATCTTAGTTTAGATATCATGCATTCCATCACAAAAGGAACATGACTAAAGAAAATGATCAAGTACCAGTATTATTCTCATAGGCAAAAAATGAGGTTTTTTTTTTAAATTTCTAAAAGCTATAGATAATATTAAATTAGGGTGGGTTTTTTTTACCTTTTGCAACCTGTCTGCTATCATGGCTAAATTTACTTGAACATTGAAAATAATAAGAAGCCTTTTAAGTTAAAAAAACAAACAAACACACACACACTGTGTAAAACTTTCAGATCCTAACAATATAGATACATAACAATATTTTTCCCAGAAGTCTTAAGAGTACCTTGTATTTTAAATCAGAACTTATTCAAAAGCTGAACCCACTCTAGCCTTTATGTTAACATACTTATTAATATAAATGGGATGTGAAATTAGAGTTATCTATTAAGTCCTATTTATATCTGTTCAATTTTGTTCTGCCGTAGAATTCTAAAACAAAATCTGCAGCAATAGCATTTTCTCATTGTTGTCTGGTAGTCCTGGATTTGATCAGCACTAAATCCATCCCTTATTTAAAAATAAAATAAGTACGTAGATCTACATAATAATAAAATAAGTTGCATTCCACCTCTTAAAATTCTCACCTAGCCCTTGTTGGCCAAACTGGTTGATGAATTATATGAATAAAAATCCAACTTATCACAAGAATGTCTTGTTGGGGGTCATTTAATGCATGTTTATAATAATAAATAATATGAATCAGAAGTTAATTTTATTTGCTGATGATTATCATCATTTTATCTCTCTACTAAACTCATTGTACTGGTCTTTCATTTTTATTATGAACTTCAGGGCAGAGCTTGCTTCATGCTGCGATGCTATGCATAATTTTATTGCTTCTCAAAAAAATACCCCATTGGGAAGCAACATGACTTATGAAGTGGACAATAAAAAAACCATCCACATTACAGAGGACATATTCCAGATGTTACCAGAGGTAAGAAAAGCTCTGATGTTTATAAGGTACCATAAACAAAGCAGTATAGGACCAATAAGAGGTGAAGAAAAAATATCTTTTGAGTTTAGCTTTCGCAAGAACAATTTTTTTAAAAAAAAAAGTTCTATTCTATGCAACTCTAGTCAGACGTGATGTCCAATTTCACCTCACCAGAACTGGAGAATGTCTCTTGCTTGAGAAAATTATTGTCCGCTTGAAAGATATGATTAGGCAAAATACAATGACTCAAATGTAAAATTGCTTCCATAAATATATCCAAGGTCACTGCTATGTAGCTCTTGTATTTTCTTGTATTTTTTCTTGTATGAAAGCAAATATGGTAAGAATATGCTTATGGCTTTGCACAGTGGCATTTCAACAAACCATCATTAAATGAAAATAGGCTTAATGCAACATGTGTATCAGGGACGTGCAGTCACTAGAGGCAAGGGAGGCAGGGCCTCACCAGTCTCCTCAGAGAAAGGAAAGGATTTTAAATAATTTTCTTAAAATAATTAAAGCCAGGGTAGTTGCTACCAGATTTCAACTCACAGTGGCTTGGTGTCTGCTCTCAGTATTAACTAGGAGGAGGCCAGAGAACTCGGGGCCTCTTTTGCATAAGGAATTTTTCGCCTTTTAAGAGTTAAGCAAAGGTTAACAAGCAAAGAATTCCTTATGCAAATGAGGCACATATTCTCTCGCCTCCTGTAAAGGGCATTTTTAGAGGCTTTTTAGAGTTCTCTGGGAGCAACTAGCTCAGTCTGACTCAGAGCTCTGGCTTTTCAGGAGGGGAGGGCAGGGCAGGGCAGGGAGAAGCAGAGTTGAAATTGTCTCTGAAACAGCTGGAAAAGGTGCGTGTGGGGAGGAATTCAAAAAGTTTGATCGGAAGGCAGCAGGGGAAGGGGGGGTATGGCAGAGAAACTGCTTTCAAGCCTTTGGAAAATATATCCAATCCAACTTCTGTGTTTGTGTTTGAGAGTGAGTGAATGAGAGAGGGATCGAAGTTCTCTGTGTGCGTGTGTCTGTTTGAGAGAGGGGGGAAGGAGGGAGGGAGGAAGGAGGGGGAGGGAGAAGAAAAAGAATTGGAAAACTTATTTTGCAAGGGGGAAAAATGTTGTCGCTTTAAATCGGAACTGAGCATGCCTGGCTGTGGAATTCTGGGAGTTGAAGTCCACAAGTCTAAAAAGTGCCTCACCAGGGCTAAAGCTAACCGCACGTCACTGATGTGTATCCAGAATTATTTGGCCTGTAGAAAATACTGGGAGTTTTAAGGATAGGAGATTTATAATACTTACGAGCAATTGAGGTAATGATTACTCAGTAAGTACTCAAAAGTACTTAAGTACTTAAAAGTTAAGTACAGTAAGTACTTAAAAGAAATGCATGCTCCTGCCTTTTTAAACTCTGACACATTCTGTCACTGTCTCTTGTTTTCAGTCTCAACCCCTGGATTTTCCTTTCAAGCAGTGTGCAGTTGTTGGAAATGGAGGAAATCTTAAGAGTTCCAATTGTGGAGCTGAAATTGATAAATCTGACTTTGTGTTTCGGTGAGAAATTTTAAGTACGATAATCAACTCATTGCAGCCCATTAATAAGAAAGGGAGTGAACCAGCCTTTCCCAATGTGGAGATATTGGCTATGGATGACTGGAGTTATAACTTAATTAATACATCTAGAAGTTGAAGGGACATGTTGTGGAACAGGGTTGTCAAACTCAAGGCCTGTGGTCCAAATGTATCATGCCATGCACATCCCTGGTTTAGAGAAGCAAGGGAAAGTTGTGATATGTCATGGGATGACAATGTGATGCTGCGAGTTTGACACCCCTGTTGTAGAAGAATATAAAGGTCATTTAGCTACAAATATAAAGGGACTCAATGGCTAAGCTTGCCGATCAGAAAGGTCAGCAGTTTGGCAGTTCGAATCCCTATCACTGCATAATGGAGTGAGCTCCCGTTACTTGTCCCAGCTTCTGCCAACCTAGCAGTTTGAAAGCATGTAAAAATGCAAGTGGAAAAATAGGGACCACCTTGGTGGGAAAGTAACAGCATTCTGTGCGCCTTTGGCATTTAGTCATGCCAGCCACATGACCATGGAGACGTCTTTAGACAGCGCTGGTTCTTCGGCTTTGAAATGGAGATGTGCACTACCCCCTAGAGTTGGGAACGACTAGCACATATGTGTGAGGGGAACCTTTACCTTTTACCTAACTAAAAATATGACATTATTTGTCCACACCTTTGAGTACCAGCTGATTGTGCTGGAATTTAGATGTCCAAGATACAGTATGGTCAGTTCTAAGTGGGGATAGCAAGCAAGAGATGTGGTGGTGCAGTGGTTAGAATGCAGTATTGCAGGCTACTTCTGCTGACTGCTGATTGCCAGCAGTTTGGAAGTTCAAGTCCCACTGGCTTAAGCCTTCCATCCTTCTGAGGTCGGTAAAATGAAGACCCAGATTGTTGGGGGCCATACGCTGACTCTGTAAGCCACTTAGAGAGGGCTGCAAAGGCACTATGAAGTGGTCTAAGTGCTATTGCTATAAAGGGTTGTTGGGTTATTTTGCTATATTTGCCTGTATGCTTTTTTATTGCTTTGTAATGAAATCAGCTGCATCAGATCCATATATGTGTTGAGGTGTGCTTAGTCCTAAGGTTTATCAGTGAATGAAAACAACTGAATCAAATAAATACACGGTACTTCTTTCTCACCAATTTTCTGTCCCCAAATGATTTAAGTACTTCCATTGTAACTTGTTGCAAACGTAACTGGACTTAAGAAAACCTCACATCTGAAGAGTTATCTCTGATGATCCATTTATTCTCCCTTTTGTCAGACAGATACCATGTCTGACAAAATTGATGACATGGTATCTCATTTTTAGCAGATGCATAAATTTGCATCACAAATCCATTTAAATAATTAGATAAATATCCTCCCATTATATAGAAGGAATGCTATAAATTTGATATGATTCCTAATTTTGAGCCTCAAAAATTATGTATATGATACATTTTCAGCATATTTTTATGCCAAAATGTAAGTTCCATTAATTTCTTAGAGGTATATTTAGAATAAGCCTTAGAAATCCAATCCTTCAAATACAGTAATAAAGCTATTTAAGTGATTAAACTACAATTCTCAGAATTCAGTTAGCTAGAAGTTAGCTAGAGCCTGATTTGGTAAAATTAATGTATCTTTTAATACTTGAGAGAAATCTGACTGTTACAATAGGAGTGGAATCTAAACACCTTTTGTAAAATTACAGGTGCAATCTTCCCCCAACCAGCGGAAGTGTCAGTCAAGATGTTGGCAATAAGACAAACCTTGTAACTGTTAACCCAAGTATTATAGCTCAGAAGTGAGTATAACTGTGGTATTATTTGCAATCTGTGTTTAATCATTAGGCTAAACACCCAGAAGCTCATTGGTGTGTTATCATCATCACCATGGCTTCTTAGTTCTACTGGCTTCATTAATGCCCCAAACCCCCTCTTAAAAGGCAGGCTAATGGGACTCCTTAACCTTTTATTCTTTGAGAAAGTAATGGAGCCGTGGAGTCCTATAGTTTCTGCTTCCACAAATTTCTCCATCACTTTGAGATCAAGAAAGCATTGGAATAATGAAAACCATTATCTAAAAAGTGGCAATGGGCTTTCCTGTCTCTCAGTGCCCCTTAAGGTTTTGCTTCAGTGCTGCAGCTAATTTTATATTATGCATTGACTGAACATATGGCAAAGAACCAAAATGAAAGGAGGGAATAGATTCTCCGAGAAACAAAATCTGCATAGTCATTTTGTTAAAAATGGCTCGCTTTGTATACAAACTAAATATGCTAAATTTAAATAAACTGTAAGCTCAATCTGACTGCCTGTCTATAGTTAAAGTACTGCTGTTTAAGGTAGATGCCCTGTATTTTTAGCACATATCCACATCCAGTGTCTTTGCTCTTATGATCAGATATAACAAACTGAATGACCAGAAGGCCACCTTCCTGGAAAACATTTCAAGTTATGGAGAAGCTTTCCTCCTACTACCCGCTTTTTCCTTTAGAAGCAACACAGCAGCATCTTTCAAAGTGCATCACACCCTGAAAGAGTTCAGTGCGAAGCAGAAGGCTATATTTTTCTACCCGAGGTATCTCAAAAGTCTTGCCCAGTTCTGGAGAACTAAGGGTGTCAAAGCCTACCGACTGTCTTCCGGCTTCATGATCACCAGCGCAGCAATGGAACTCTGTGAGAATGTGAAGCTGTATGGTTTTTGGCCTTTCTCCAAAAGCATAGCAGGTATTCCCATAAATCATCACTACTATGACAACCAACTTCCAAAGCCAGGTTTCCATGCCATGCCCAAAGAGTATAACCAGATACTCCAGCTCCATGGAAGAGGTATCCTGAAGTTGCAATTTGGCAAATGTTTGACAGAGTAGCCCAAGGTATGTTTTTGCTTCAGAATGGAGGAAACCTCTGTGAAGGCCATGCATTCCTATTTTGATAGCCGGGAAGACAGTATATGATAGGTGATGCCAGAAATGTTGGATGCTGGAACTCAAACTGGGTTGTAAAACCTCTTTTCTCTCTGTCTTTCTGAAACTCTTTTTCTTTCTTTCTTTGTGACAGTCAATCTGTTTATAGCATTCCATTCCCTGATTCACTCTATTTTACCCGCTTGACATTTCCCAAAATTATTGTCTATAAAGGGCTTTTGAAATGAAGACACCTGCACAGAGTTACGGTGAGAACCAGAGGGTGCATTAGGATCATAGGTTTGTCATTTTTACTTTCAATAAAAGAGAATATTTATAGCTCAGGGTTGAACTGTGGAGTCCTTGGTGCTCTCTGAGTCTGGTTGTTTTCTTGCAGATGTTTCATTAGCCAACTAAATAAAATCATTGGTGACTCACATTGATTATATTAGCTAGGCAGGTAATGAAATGTTTGCACGCAAATAACCAGACTTGCAGAGCACTAAGAGCTCCACATCTTTGTTTTTTTGAGTATCTAGTAATTAATTAAACAGCAATGGCTTCATGTTTTATAGCTGGGGAGGACAATCTGTAACCCATAATCACATGCTATCCTCAAAACCAATCTTCTATGATTGAAGTCGATTGCTTAGTTTGTTGTTAGTTGGAGATAAGAGATGCATAAAACTTGTAAAAGAAACCCTAAAATATTTTTAAAAATAGTAGATCTTAATCCTGCCCAGGGTTAAATAGGGCCACTACATGATCATTGAACGCCCATATACTTGAAGCTGCTCCAGAAATGTTATTTGACTCCACCACTTTAGAGTGCCTCTGACAACAGTGTTATTACTTGTGAATTTTCCTGGGTATCCTTAACTAAAATTATAATTTTAATTTTGCTGTGTGCCATGTGGACATGATACTTCCTTGTAGAGGGAACCTTGGAGATAAATAAATGAAGTCTCGCTAGATCAGAATCATTCTATTAAATGTGGTCCTTGTTCCCTACAAAGATCAGCAAGCACGTAAATTAAAGTTTATTTCATAATATATCTAAAAACGTGCATGATGTATGCAAAGATCTTTGAAAAACAAGAACTTGCAGACTTAACATATGAACTTCCAGCCATGGATTTGATACTAGGGGAGATATTGGCTTAGAATGAACAATGTTTAAATTTTTTAAATCATTAACCTTTAGGTTAAAAGAGAAGCTATGTAGCTTTTTATTGAGTTTTCCAAGGAAAGTATTGTTTTGATGATATTCTCATGGAGGAGGTCTGAACTTTTTGTATTTATTTGATATGTAAGGAATTTCAAGGTACTCTTATCTTTCACTGGACAATTATTTCTCCATCAATATTCAGCCTTTTTCTCTTTATTGAATCCCAGAGTAAAACGTCATGACACAGAGTCCCACTGCAATCTGTTGTTGGATTTGATCAAGTCTCAAATGATTAATTTTTGCAAGCATAACTACAAACCATTTTGTACTTAAGTATGGCATTATAAAAGTAAATGTGTGCCATTGTAAATGGTTGTAATCTACTTTTTTACATAGATTACATTTTCAAAGCTCAGAATGTTCACTAAGAAGACACAATCTCAGGATGAAAGTGGTATTTATGTAGCTATTGCATGCTTAGTTGATATTGTTATAAACATATTTATTGTTTTCTTACTGCAATCTAAAATAGTAGAGCACTGTCTGTCTAGCATCTGGAAATATTACTGAACCTTTTCTAGTGTGCAAAGAGTTATACACGGACTATTTTCAAATGTAAGCCTTTCTCTGCATTTTGCCACTGCTTTCTTGTTTTTGTTACTTGTGGAACATCAATGTAGCATCCAGTTTATTTCTGTTAAGTATTGAATTGCCAAAAAGTGCAACCCTCTGCAATCTTTTCACACCTGTGGGCAGGTAACGTGTACTGAATCTTCTGCATATTTGTCTTGTCCATCTCTTCTACAGATTCTTCTTTTATACTCATTAAAATAATAATGATTAAGAGCAGGCAAGCAATTTTTAAAAATATTCCAACATGCCTTATACAATCAAATACTCCAAGAATTAACACTCCTTGTCTCATTCTCCAGTTATAATATCAAAAATTACATATTCCTGTATTTTGTAACAAAGATAAAATTATACTTTTAAGTGTGAGGCTAAAGAATGGAATTCATGAGATCAGAGTAGTGTGAAAAAAGAAAAAAATCGCTTGGCAGTATATACTGACAATGTGCTTTGCACACCCATTTTCCAATCTCATAATACTTTTCTGGTATGGGCAGAATATATTTCTAATTGATGTATGTTTTACAGATAATCATCTGGACTCTGATATTTAATTCTTAATGTGTGTTTCATTAAAATACTATTAGAATTAAATTATTAACAAGTCTTGATTAAATTTTCTTTTCTTAACAACATGGAACAAGGGAGAACAAGTTATATCATGCATTCCAATAAAAAATGGGATATGCCTCTTGGGCAACATTTTCAGACCCATTGATGGCATTCATTAACCAAATGAGGCACTTGTCTATAAAAATTGGAAAAATAAATAACTTTTTGGATTTGACTTTCTCCAGAAATGAAAGACAGAGCAAATATTCTACTGAGCATTAGACACTGAAATTTTCCTTAATTTTGACCACTTAGTGAACAAAGCTGATGGTATCCGATCTAGGTCAATCTATTTATGAAAAGCATATCTAGTTTTGGTAAATCTCTCTCATATAGATTTTTCATAGCAAAAAAGCAGAAACTACATATGTTCTCAATCTTGCACAAAGATACCACTAGGAGAATACAGAATAATAGAGTTGGAAGAGACCTTGGAGGTCTTCTTGTCCAAGCCGAAGCCCAAGCAGAAGAGCCCATATTGTTCCAGACAAATGGTTGTCTAATTTATTAAAAACCTCCCAGTAGTGGAACCCCCACAACATCTGAAGGCAAATTGTTTACACTGTGAGAAAAAATTTCCTTGGTTCGAGGTTGGATCTCTCTTTGATAAGTTTCCATGTGTTATTTCTTGTCTTGCCCTTGATTTTTCTTTCCTAAGTGTAAAACCTTATTTTTCTCACCACTAAATTGCATTTTGTTGGATAGGGCCCAGTGTTCAAGTCTATCAAAATATTTCTGGATCTTGAGCATATCTTCTAAAGTGTTGGCTATTACCCCTAGCTTGGTGCTGTCTGTGAGTTTGATAAATTCCCTTCTCTCCCTTCATCTAAATCATTTATGAAGATGTTGAAGAGTACTGGAGATAAAACAGAACCTTGGTTATCCCACTGAATACTTCCCTCCATGTAGATATAGTTCCATTGAGGACTACACATTGAGTGTGATTGGTCAGCCAGTTGCTATTCTATCTAGTGGTGATACTGTCTATTTTACCAAGAAGTAGGTTGTGGTCTACCTTGTCAAATGCCTTACTGAAGTCCTGAAGCACATGCTACTATTATACTCCAATCCCGATTCTTGATTTCAGAGAAAAGTAATCTAGGTGGAGACACATAACTGACAAGATCCAGGTGAGACATTCCTACACATATGCCATCTTGTCACAATGTCAGGCATTTTGCACTGGACTTAGAAGCATGTTGTATTTGAAAATTGATTAAACACATCAATATGGTTTCAGCTTATAAATCCAGGGAATGTCCTTTTGGTTTTTATGTCTATTGAAAGATAGCTTATATGATTTTCTCCTGGATTCTTAAATAAATACTTTTTCATTGTACTTATTGGTTTATTGAATTTCTACAATGTTTGAACTATTGGACATAGAATCCCAAACTATTTATGCTTGTGTAGGTATTTTCCTCTTCTTTTAGTCTCTTTTCAGTAAATTTGTCACAACACTTGATAATTTGCAGTCAAAGTATAATATTATTATCTATTTGAAATTGTTATTAAGTGTCTGACTATATTTATGGATCAATACCTTCATTTTCTGTGCAATGCATTGGGAATTGTACTCTGCTACCTTTCTGTATCGGTGTATTGTTTATTGGTAATATTTTGTCATCAGCCAAAAGACATTGTTGATGCTTTGTTTTAATGAAGTATCTCAGTGCCAAAGATGTTTGCTTTCACAGATATAAAGTATATGTTGGTTGGTGAACTAGAATATTTTTGTGGGTTTTTTTTGAAAATCTTGCTAATAAAAAGTTTTGTGATATTTATTGCATCTACCAATTCATTTTATACCTACATTCAGATCATTATGAATGCATACCCATATTAAAATGAGGGATCCTCAAATATTTTAGGATTGGTGGACAATGTGGAATTTTGAAGATTGTATGGGCACCATCAAGAAAATGACACCATGGTGCGTATAAGTGTACAAATTATCAAACACATGTGTCAAAAGGCAAGTTGGCGAAGTTATTTTTTTCTTCTGTACATTCTCTGTGACTTCTCAGAAAATTCTGCCTCCCACAGATTCATGTGTATGTATGCATCGCTGAGCATTCACCCAAAGAACTAGAATGCAACCATTCAACATGTTTTACTTAAGACTGTTTCTTGAATGTGCAAGGGATTCAGAGATTTTTGTTTCAAATAAAGATTATGTGGTGATTGTGTTTTGTTTTTTTACACATGGAATCATGAAAGTCAAACATACCAGGTCAAACATACCATTAGGAAGATCACCATTAAAATAAAACAGGGGCAGTTAGCATATTTTCTCATTTGCTTATAAACAAGTCAAATGACTTAAAACCTACATTTAAGAAATTAATTGAAGAATAAATAAGGTAAGATTTATTTTATATTGCCTCCATGTAGGGAGCAAGTTTGATTTATTATAGTTGGGTTTTTTAAGTTGAAAAGTCACCAAAACCAACTGTTTTTGAGAAAATTCTCTTTAAGTATGACCTGAGTCATGACATGAAAATGAATTGTTTATCATGGCAGAAAACTGGAACTGTATTTTTATAACCAATGTCTCTGGTTAAGTTCTGCTGGAAGATTCTCATTTGCATGGCTTAATTAATTGATGGCCCCAAACCTCCTGAAACAAAAAGTTTTCTGTATGCAGTAGTTGTTAGGTCTGTTGTTAACATGCTTTACGCACATAACAAAATCTTGGGAAATGAGAAATCCCCCACTTTCCTCCTCTTAAAGCCATCTAACCTTCTGACTTTTGTTATCAAATCTTAAGGCATTAATTTATATAGATTAATTGTGAAGTATCACAATAACTATTGTACTGCATTTACAGGAAAGAGGCTATATAGTACATGTCTACTTCAATAAATCACAGAATTAGAGTAGTTTTTTTGTTTTTGTTTTTTGCTCTACTCCTCTCTCTGTCTTTGTGGATAAGAATTTAAATCTAGCTTGCCTTCCCTAAAAATGAGTCACATAAAAAGTGAATTATAAAATATGAAAAAGCACACACACATACACACAAACACAATACTTTAAAATCATAAAATTGACCCTAGATTGGCTGGATTTGTGAGGTGAACTTTAACTGGTTATTATTTTTTTTTACTGTGCTGTATGAATTGAGTCTTTATAGTTTATAAACAATGGCTTTATATCACAGTATGAGCCAAATACAATCAGATATAGCTATAGCACATAGACTTATATATTGCTTCACAGTGCTTTACAACTGTCTCTAAGTGGTTTACAGAGTCAGCATATTTCCCCCAACAATCTGGGTCCCCATCTCGGAAGGATGTAAGGCTGAGTCCACCTTGACCCTGGTGAGATTTGAACTGCCAAATTGCAGGAAGCCAGCAATAAGCAGAAGTAGCCTGCAGTACTGCATTCTAACTACTGCGCCACCACAGCTTATGTACTGCACATGTTTTATGCAATAAAACAAGGTGACACCTGACTTAACCTTACTATCACCTAGGGCTAGGAGTTTGTTTAGGTATGTGTACTTTTTTCTTTTCTATTTTTTTGCCAGAATTTTTTTTATTTTTTCCTCTTACATAGCATTTTAAGTATAAATTCACATAATTGTTATTCTTCTTATACATTTATCATTCTTATACATTTGTTATTTCATTTAATAGGATATAATATGCAATTTGGGTTGCTTTATTTACCATCTCTTCCTCCTGTTGTAACACCACCTTATTTTCTCTTTCTTTTCTCCCTCCCTCCCTTCTCTACTTTCTTCTTCCTTTCCTTCCCCTTCCTTCTTCCCTTACTTTATTTATTCCTCCATGTCATTGGCTTATAGGTTTAGTTGATCTAATCATTCTCAGCTCCCTCCTTTGTCTTTTTAGTCCCTGTTCCTTATCTTAGCGCTTTCTCTTCCTGTTCATTCTCAATCCTCCCTTGATCTTTCCCCCTAGTTTGCTGGCATTTAGCTCCTCCCTCTTCTCTTACCAACATTCCCTCCTGTGCTGCTATATGTTGTTCATAAAATAATTCTGCTTTCTCTAGTGTATCTAATCTGTGCCTTTGTTCTTGCCAGTTTACCAAAATCCCTTCTGGAACCAGCCATCTAAAACTCACCCTTTCTTAATCAGACTCTTGGTCAGAAAGTGGTATTCTTTTCTTATTTTTCTAACCTTCCTTGGAATTTGCTTCAGTACCACTATCTCTCTAGACTTGTATTTGATTCTAGTACTTCTTGTTGCTTGCAGTATTTCATTTTTTAGGGCTTTTAAAAATAAATCTTATGTGTACCTCTCTGGGCAGGTTATTTCTTATTACATATCTTGTATGTACTTGTCTCATCTATTCCACCTAAATGTGTTCCTTACTCATTTCTGTGACCCCTGCAAGGATTTCTGCAATCTTCTCTGCTAAATTCTCTCCTTTCTCCTCTTCAATGTTCTGAAATCTTAGGTAGAATTCAGATCATTCCCTTTCCCAGAGTATGGAAGATTTATCTTGCTTTTTATCAATTGTTGTCAATTTGTAATCCATCTCCTCCACTTTTTTGCTGTTATTTCTGCTCTCTCTTCCATCTTCCTTCTGCAATCTCTGTTCGTTTTCCCCCATCATTTCCTAGACTTCTTTCAATTCATCTTCCACCGTACCCACTTTCTCTTCTACTTTGTTTACTTGCTCCTTAAGATCCGGGTGTATGGCTTGCAACATACTTTTAAACTCCAAGGTAGCTTTATCATTTTGCATTGATATACTTGTTACTTTCTGTATTGCTGGACTGGGCGGTGTCACTGTTGCAGATGCCTATGGTATTATTTTCTTCATCTTGGTGTTTGATTCTTACATTGTTGTGTTTGAGTTATAATCAGATTTTATAAACCAAAAATAAATTAGTAGATTAATTGTAATCCTGAAATCGACCACAGTAGCTCAAACACCAGCCTTCAAAATACCATTCTTGGACCCAGTCTTCAGATTCTTGCTACCTTAATCCATTCACTTTGTAATGTCAACGTGTGGTAAAAAAAGAAAAAGAAACAAAGAGAAAAAAATGGGGATTGGTGAAAAAGCTCTCACCTCAACAAAAAGAAAAGAAAAAAGGCCCAAAATTAATTCCACAATGGTAAACCACACTTCATTGCTAAAAGGCAAAGGAAAGAAGAAGAAAAAGAGAGGTGAAAAAAAGGAAGGGGAAAGATAAAAACTGCATTGAAAAAGGACTGAAGTAGACAAGTAAAAGGGAAAAAAAGAAAAAAGGAAACCTTTAGTCTAAATTGTGTGGTTTATCCAAATTTCTGCTTCCAGTAAAAAAAAAAAAGCACACTGTCAAAAAGTATTCTCTGCTTCTCAGCAGCCCATTATAAGCATGAGAGTGCAACACCGTGTTTACACAACTGGTCTCAATTTCTTCCTTCTAGAGAGACTTTATCAGTTCAATGTTATCAGCCATACTTCAAGGTCGTTTCTTGTTTGCCATCTCTTTTCTTTTTTTTTCTATGGCCAACTTTGTTCAACCAACTTTTATTTGCCACTAGATGGCAGTTTAAACAAATAATTCATCGTGTCTATCTTTTAAATTCACTGCAAAGAGATTGTCAAAAGTTATTAGAGTTCCTAAAAAAACAAATGCACAAAGTAAAAGTTTGTAAAAGTCTGTAAAGAGTAAA